TCTCTTCTAAACAAATAAATGAAAGAACAGAATTATGTAATTATTTTACCTATTATTTTTTCTATCATATGTAAAAAAGCACTATAATGTGAAAGAAATATAAAGTAAATATAATAAAGATAAATTGTTAATCTTAATAACACTACTAATTAGAGAAAATGATAATTTGAGGCATTGAGTATATTATTATTTACATATTCCAAATAAAATATAAAGAAGAGAAGAATTTTTATGGTTAGTTTGAACATTATAAATATATTAAATGTAATAACATTAATAAAAACGAGTATGAATGGCATTTAAAAATTTTTAACTATGATAATCCTATTTATATAAAATATTGTGATGGATATAGTGCATATTATGATTGAGAAAATATTGAACCCTAATGTAAATATTTTTTTGCATATGATATTATATATGACAGAAGTATTCTATTGACCTTTTTATGTCCATATATGAGAAATTATGCGCAGACACCCATAAAGTAAAGAAAGATGTAGAAATCTCACAGGATGTGATAGATATTATAACACATAAAAATTATAGAACTCTGCTTGAGCCTAATAAAATTGCGTAATATACCTCCTTATTCTATTTAATGAACTAAATGAAGCAACCTATACCTCTTCCAACATTACAAAAACTCTTTATAACATATTAAATTCATATTATTTTGTCGCTTTAACAAGGTTTCTTCAGTAAGTAAGACAATTATATTATTTTATTTTTATCATCATATTAATACAAATTGGAATTAAATGTATAAATTGTTTATTAACTTTTATAATTTATATGAAATAAATCTATATTTATTAAATAAGTATTTTCAGCATTTTTTATGTATTAATGTACTTCCTCATGATAAATGTTGTATAAAATTGGAATATGTATAAATAAAATTAAAAAAAACTCTAAATAAGATATAAGGAGATTATGAATATCCATAATAATCTGAATGCATATAGGGAAATTATTTTCTTTATACTTTGTTGTAGGTAACAATTTTCAATAATTAGTACCTTAATTCAAGATAATTTACGTGAAAAACATGAAGATATAACCTAGTAGAGTTATGTGTATGCATCGTATTATCAGAAGAAAAATATGAATGAAAAAATAATGAAAGATGTTTCTTCCAAATACCAGGATATATATATCGTGCAATGTAAAACTAATTATATATATATATGAGTAATTCATTAATATGTAACATCATGTTAAAATTCCTATTATGAAACCTAATTAATAGTTTACTGTTTTTTCGAAGATATTCTTTATTTGAAAATTGTGAAAAAATATTAAATTACATATAAACAATTAAAAAAAACAAAGTTGTGAAATTTATATTAGTATAATGGGGTTTGAGCTTATGTAAATTTGAATAAAATCATGTTGTTCATTAATGACATAGCAGAATATAATAATATTGCACTGAGAACTTGCGGTAATTCTGGTATAACACAAAAATCTAAGAAATTTAATATAAACATATTCTAATAGTTTTTAAGATATATATATCTGTTTTTAGAAAAACAAATTATGGAAAAATAAGCTATAAAATATTTTTATATTAGGGAATATTAGATTAAGATAATATAATTTGTGTTCTTATTACATGTGAATCAGTGTACTACATAACACTTTTATTTTCTTATAATTATATATGAAATTATACAAATTTCTAAGAAAATATGATATTAATTGATGCAATTATGTTTCATCTGAATAATAGATTCCATATATGCAACAAAATTACTTTGTATACAATTAAAACAACAATAGCAAGCAAAAAATAATATAAAATAAAAGATTTATGCTTTATTTTAATTTTTTTTTGAACATTTCTACATGCAAAATGAAATTAATCTTTGAATTACATATATTATAATAATTTTGTACGCTATTTAAAACAACAAAAAAAGAAAAAGTTATTTGAAAACAAGAATACAATAATATATGAAAAAAAAATGTAATAAAAAAATGATGTCGTGTAATTTCTGTCTTTATATATATATACTGATTAAGCTAGAAAATAGAACAGTTATCATGATATTTGTACATAAATTCCAAAAAAAAACATTAATACATTAATTAATATTATTAAATTACGATATTATTGAAAAGATAGCATATTTAATACTTCGCCTATAAATATAAAAAGTAAATAAAAAAGAAGAAAAACTAATATAATTATGTATTATATTACATTAATAGTAGTGTAAGTCCCAGATAGAATAAAGTTACATTTATCCAATATATATATAATATATGTAAAATATAATTTTGATTTGAGTAATAAATAATGAAAATAACAAATAAATATATTATATTAACTAATAAAACCACAAGATTATGCACTATTATTTTATTATTTAAATATGTATATATAACATGAAAAAACGCATAATAATTTTATATGAGTAAATTAATTGTAAAATATTATAAATAATATACAATATTTTTTATATATTAACTACATAAAAAGCATATTATACTATATCTAATCTAATATGTATTCATAATGCAAAAATTTTCTCATTCTACATAAAGAATTATATAAAAATTTAATATATATATAATACAATAAAATGAGTCTACGTAACACGGTAAAATAATATTAATGCATTTGATAATAAAAATAATCATTTAGTTTGTAATTCAAATATAATTAATGCTAATAGTATACACAATGTTTTATATTCATATATATAATTTATATACAAATTAGCAAAAATTCTTAAACAATAAAAAATACGTATAAAAAAAGAGCACAATCTAAAGAATCAATATATATATACATTAACATAAACACTCAGAATGGAACATAAATTTATGGATTATAAAATAATTTTAATTAATTACCACGGATACCAAGCGTTAAAGTGGATAAAATTTATGGTATATAATTTATATATATTAGCTTATAATTTAACGCACTTAATGTAAATTTAAAATAAATGTTGTGTTTATGGTTTAAAATAGATTAAATGAGAAATAGGTTAATATTAAGATATAGGAAAAAACATAATAATTTATGTATAGAATTATAAAACGGACAATAATATTAATACACACTCTATATACTTTAGTACCTTATAGCCATAATAGAAATATGAGCAAATAAAGCTCATAATATAACATATAACTGACGCAAATATTATTTTCTCTGGAACCAAAAGAAAAATTACTATATTAAATAAATATCACAACCCTAAATTAAGCCCTCAAATATGGTATCTAAAATTATATCAATAAATCTATCCTCTGCAGCTAATCAAAATAATTTAGCATAAACATAACAAAAGGAATTATATATATGACTTAGTAAATCAACTTTTGTAAATTATTTAGAAGGAATAACTAAATATATGAAAAAAAAAATTATTTTGAATAATGTATATCTTTATATTTTTGTGAATAGTTCTTTTCTCAGTACCATCATGAGATATGTGTATATATTTTTTTCCTTTATTACAATTCTTGCGAGTTATGAAATATAGCATATAAATATAATGGTTTCTGTGATATTTTTATTAGTTTAGTTATGCATTGTGTTTTAATTATTCGTCATAAATAGAAAAATATTTTATATTTATATAATTCTATTTGTTATATATGCAGTATTTAATTTAAAATATCATAAGTTATTTTTTATGTATCTTACGCTTATGATGTACTAAATATAAATAAAATTGGAGTATACTATAAATAAAACATTATTTTCAAATATTTTAAATTAATTATAAAAGAAGTTATGGCAAGAACGAGTTTAATACTACATTAAACATATAAATTCTTATATAATAATTATGATAATACAATATTAAATAAATACATATAATTAATATAAAAATTTAATTTTTGAAAATAAATAATTTATATAAATCTAAGATGACCTTTTTCTGAATTTAAGAAATATTTTTATATTCTTTAAATATTTTATAGTTAATAGAGAAAAAATAATTTCCTGTAACATATATTCTACAAGAACTAAGTAATATTTACATTAAATAATTATGTTTTAACATTTCAAGTATTTAATTCGCATATAAAGAACATGTTTTGTTTGAATTTGAATGTACAGAACATATAAAAAACAATAATATCCTTATAAAATTACCTTTCACTATTTTATAAGTATATATTGTAAAAACAACATCGTTTTAATTATACACATTTATTCTCACAATTGAAAATATACAATAAAGAATGCATTACATTAATTAGTAGTGATTTAATGCATTAAGAAATTATAATATTTAATTATTTAATGACATTATATTTGATAATAAGGAATATAAAAGAAGTAAATATATAATTATTACTTAACTATTGCACCTTTTGTGAAATATATAAATTATTAATATTCAAAACTATGTAATACATAACCTAGTTATTATTTTATTAAAGTATTATTCTTTTAGGTATCAAATAATACTAAAATATTATAAATAATAAAATATGATACAGTTATTATATAAACCATAAGGATAGATTCAATATTAGTTATATATATTTATCCACGAACCTTACTTTCTTAATATTTTTGAAATAATACTTTATTATTAAATTAATTAATTTATAATATATAGTTCATATTATTTTAAATTTCATAATAAGCCAATTATCACTAATATATTATGATAACTAATCCATTTATAATCTGATAGTTAATATATAGCTATTTTTTATGAATAAAGTTAATACAATAATATGAAATAAAATTGTTTTTATAATTATATAAAAGTTATATTTTAACCTTGAACATTAAGAACACAATAAATATTTATCTTGGTATTTTTTTTCGCTATTAGAACATGAATTATTATTTTTAAAATACATATTACAAGTATTAATCCCATCTTTTAGAAATAAGCATATTATAACGTTACTTATAAGTTATTCATATAAATACATATCTTTTGTAATATTAAGTGTTTTCCCTATATTATTAAAATCTTTGTTTATTTTTTATTTTGTTGTACATAACATCTAATATGGAAGAAATATCTACATATGTAAGGAGACTTTTGAAAACAAAAATTATTAAATATATCAAATGATTATATTATTGAAATGCTAAATTTTATCTATTATAATAACTACTATATGAACTTATAATTATTTTATATCTTCTATTTTTTATGTTTAACATTAAATTTTTTATTCTCAGAAATTTGACCCAAATATGTTGCCTTCACAAATATTTTATAGTAAATTGAAGGAAACCTTTACCGAGGGGAAATATGGAAATATATTTTGTGTTGGAAGAAGCGAAAATTCCTTAACAGAGTACCCAAAAATTCAGTCTTTTTGCTCAAATATTATATATTATTTAAAAAAAGATAACCTTTCATTGAATAATAACCCTAATAAGGATATGTACTGTAATCTTTTAGGCTACTGGATATATGATCAATTAGTAAATTATTTTAATAAAGATAAACGTGATGCTATGCATATTTATGGTAAAATCGTGAGTGTATGGAACATTAATTTTAAAATTAATACAAATGCTAATATTTCGAAATGCATACTGGATTCTGAAATGCTTAATCACAATGATTGGGATAAGAGAATGAAATTATATGAATATTACGTAGATTATGAATTATACGTTAAACAGCACATATCTAAAATCGATGATTGTGAAAAATTTTATAAATACATTAAAGATAAAGAAAACCTGTATGATCATTTTATGGCTCCTTGTTATGGTAATAATAAACAAAGATGCCCAGATTTTTATGAGAAATGTAAAATGTACAATCCAACAATTGTGTTAAAAACGCGTAAATGTCATGATGAAATGGTTACACTAGATAATGGTTTAAAAAACTTACCTGGAAGAGATATTGAAAGTGATTCACCTAAAATAGGAGATAGACAAGGTGTATCTGAGATACAGGTTGCACATGATTCACTTGAAATTGGAGCTATACAAGTTATATCTGAAAATATGGAATTAATACCGCACGAATCAGAAGGGGGATATGATACTACATTAAGTCAAAGGGAATATTTGGAAAAATCACAATTACATGAGGAGAGTTATAAACCATTAAAATCATTTGGTAAAGTGATACTTGGAATATTCATAACTACTATGACATTTGGACTTTTATATATAGTATATATAATTTTATTTAATTGATATAAATCGCATTTATTTTTTAGGAATTTACATAAATTAGATCTTTATATTTAATAAATTAATATACCATATATATTTGTTATTGTTCTTTATATAGAAAATTTCACCTACAGAAAATCTGTTAAGTAATAAGATTAAAATGATAAAAAAAATGTTTAGTAAAAATAATGAAAAAAAAAATAAATATATTTTCCCCACAACAACATATTTTAATCAATTATCTGAGGACCGTGAAGAGCATTATATAGGATACAACAATTTATAGTATATTTCAGTTCAAAATGTTTGGTAATTACAATACCTTAGATGGAGCATATATTATATAGAGAAAATTTTGGTTGAATAAATATTTTATTTCATATTTAAAAAAAAGTAATAAAAAAACAAAATAAAATTATAATAAACAGTGTTAAGGATTTGGAGCGATAAGTACAAAAAAATACATTGAATATAAAAAAAAAAATATTTAATGTAATAAATAAATTGCAAATATAAATAAATTATTCTCAATATATATAAACTCTGCGTAAATTTATATATTTTCTAATTAAACTTTTTATATTAATATATTTTATGCCATGTGAAATATAATTTGCTTAAAATAATTATTATACTCATTAATATATATAATTACGTAAAATTATATTATAGTATAATCTACTATATATATTTATCATGATATAATTATAAAAATTATAATTATGAAATATCAATTCAGATGTTTATAACATTGTCCAGTTGTCACGACAATATTACATATATTAAAAATAAAGATAAATGTTTTTTTTTTTTTTTTTTTAATGTTTTGCTATTTATTATTCTATCATTCTTCAATAGTTCATTATTCACCATATTATGTAGGAAAATTAATATGAATTATTTTATATTTCTAGTTTATATATGAACCACATGCATCTTAATATGTAGATTCATAGAACTAATTATGCATAAAAATTCATAATATAGCAAAATAGTAGAGCATAAAAAAGAAAAAAGGAAAACTAATTTTTCATTAAATTATTTTCGAAATTATTATATAATAATAATAATCATATAGTAAATATAATATCGCATGATCTCCAACTTATTTTTTTTTTAAGCTATATATAAAATAATACTTTTTATAATAACAAATTAATATATGTGTATCAAACTGATGTGCTGGAAAAATACTTATTTCTTTTCTTCCAATCGAAATATGTCTATCACATCGTATTTCAATATTATTATTTTTATGCATATGTGATAGAGAATAAATTGGGAATTACAGAAACATCTTCTTTGTTTTATTTTATTTCGTAAAATTTCTACTAAATATGCTATTATATGTGTTCAAAAAAAAATAATAATAATATAATAAAAAATATTCAATTGTAATGATATTATATTCTAATAAAAAAGTTAATATATTAGAAATTAAAAGGTAATGTATACAATAATTTAAAGAAATGGGAGGATACATGTATATATTAGATCCACGTGTAAAATCATTTAAACGCGCATATACCTGAGGGATATAAATTACACAAAAAATATTATTATATAACTGAATTTTAATTTAAATATAATTAATGGTATACAATGTAAAAATATTATTAATTGATATAGTGACAAATAATTAAATTAAAATACAATTTTTAATTTTATGTTTATAACGTTTGATGATTGTACAAATAGATACACAATAATATATATATGTTTGATTTTTTGATGACACTTAATACAAGGTTACAAATAAGAAATTCTATCAAAATAAATATAACACATTTGGGTATATATTTGTTGTTTTATTAAGCATAGCACATAATTGATATGTATTTCATCGTGCTACAGAATAACATATTTATTAATTTCATAATAAATATTCAAAAAATTACATATATAATGTATTTTGTCTATAAATGTAATTAAAATAAAAACATAAAAATAATAAAAAGCACATCTCATATAGTAATGAGAACAATTCTGTATATATCCAAAAACAAAAATATTTTAAAAATACTAGCAAAAGTATATTATATTTTTTTAGGAATTAAAATATATCTTAAGGTTTCTTTATGTATTCTGTTGCACCGCTTGCTAATGATAACTTGTTGTTGTTTTATTAAGCATCATAAATTTCAAACAAAATTTATCTAATACATGTGATTTTATTTCTTCATGTTAATACAGTATATACATCACACATTCGGAATATTTATTAATTATAATTTAATTACTATAAATGTTGTACAAATAGGATTAGGGATAAATTATATTATTATAAGAAAAAATGAAAAAATATCATATCCCTTGTATTTTGCTAAATATATTAGGTATTAGTGAATAATTTAGAATATAGAACACCTATGTATTCTAAAACATGAGCTTATCATGGGAATAGAATTATAACTAAGTATTAAATAATATATAATGTGGAACATGTACATAAACTGAATTATTTCTATGTTTACGTAAGTAAATCATTCTCTTTATATGAAAAAAGTGGTACTAAATATTATTTATACAAATGTATTACAGTTCTTATACATTATTAATAGGTATATGTAATCTTCTTCTAAAGGAAAACATGAAAAAATCATATAGAATAGAATATATGAAAAATCTATGAATTTTAAATATATTAAAAACTATTATTTACATATAAGATGTAGGGATTATAGAATTAAAGAATATTATAGTATTAGAGAAGAAATTAGGAAATATACATTTAACTTTGTATAAACTTTTTTTAATTATTATTTATTTTTTTAATGATATATTTATCATTATAATAAATATTTTTGACTTAATATATATATGTCAATAATTAATTGTATTTTATCTTTGTTATCACATGAAATATAATTATCTTACGATGTATTTTAATGAAATAAATGTTCTACAATTTGTATTTATCACATGTTTTTGGTTCCCATGCATTTCTTCAATGCTTGAAAACAGCGTAGACGAATCAAAAGAGTTATAGCCTTCTTAATAGACCATAGAATATATGTCATTTCATTCATGTACATATTTAAAAAAGAATTTGTATAGGAGCATTAAATTATTTTTTTTATGCTACTGTGATTATCAAAAAAAAATAATGCCGAATGTCAACTAAAATAAATATTTTTCTACAAATGGCAAATTAGTAAAATGATTCATTTAAGAATTATAAAGTAAAAGTGAACTATATTTCATTATTATAAATGTATAATTTAGCAGCATCTTTATATTTATGTACATTAAGCAAATAAAAAACCTTTTACCCTATATATATAGGTAAATATAATGTATACTGCTCTTAGTCTGTATATCTATAAGAAAATTTAGTTACATATATATATTTATTTTTATATAATAATCAATTTATATTATAATAAATTAATTTAAATCCTTGTAAAGCACATCATTTTAATACGCATTTACACTATTATCTACAATTATGAAAGGATTGCTTCATAATGTGTTGCATTAACCGTGAATACTATATTTAACAAAAACAAAATTTTTGAATAATTCATCGTATAAGTTATAAAGTTATATATATGGTAGTACTTGTATGGAAATATATATGAATTCATTCAAATATAATAGCTATTATATATATAAGTAAATAATTGTGAGATTAGATTTTTCATTTATTTAACTCAATAAATATTTAATAAGCTAATTATAATTCAATAGCAAATAAATTATTCACACAAATATTATATTCACAAAAATAAAACGTGCTGTATAAGAATTATTACATTATGTTTTTTCTATTTTTTTTATTCATATAAATATTCTTTTAATATTAAACTGTTTTACAATGTTATCATATAATGTATACGTGAAACACATTAAAAAAATTATATTAAGAGAATAAAACAATAAATAATGTTATTTAAATAGTTAAATGTATGTATATGCATTAATTCTTAGAACGTGTCTTATTTTTCTCATTTATATTTATATTTTATTATATATAAAACAAATATTGTATTCAAGGAATTATAATATTTTTAATATATTACTAAAATATGCGAAATACTTATCTATAATAAATTATGTGTACGAATGTTTTTATTTTATTCGTTTATTGATTAATTTCACTGTATATTTCTATTATAAATTATTTAATTATTTACAGATATATAATTTATGAAATATTATTACAAGCATATCACCATTATAAATAAAACTAATTCTTATGAGTACAATATAGTTATTGTTTATTATATATTATATTTTTATATTTAATTAAAATATATATTAATATTAAATAAATATAAAAATAATTTTATAAGGGTAAATCTAGAAATTTTTTTAAAATATCTTAATGTAATATAAATTGCTAAATAGAAAAGTAGTTTTAGATACTGAAATTTCAATTTCTTTCATCTAGTTTATTATATAAATGATTCAAAAATAAAATATTATATTTCTCAATAATGCAATAAAAATTGATGCCTAATTCTCTATGTTATTAATAAAGTGAAAATTTTAAAAAATATATTAAAACTAAATTGTGTTCATTCACTAATCATTTGAGAACTTATATAGATTTTTTTTTATTAGTGATATAATTATATATAGAAAAAATATATAGTATATTATTAATAAAGAGTTAAGTGATATAAAAATCCTTATACCACCCACATATTTTATGATGAATTCCTAATTAACATTAATACTTTCATATATAAAAATTGTTAAAGCAATAATTTATGTAATAAAGGTTGTATGAAATGCACAGTTTTTTATAATAATGACAATAAAACTGAATTCTGCTCTGATTTAGAAGCATATATGCAAACATATTGTTATAATACTCCAAAACTAATTAATTACAACACAATTCAAAATAATTTAGTGTAAATAAATATTATAATATCTAACCTATAATATTAATCCCATTATTTTTTACATCAAGCACACTTTTTTCAAGGTTCAAGTTATAGAATAAGATAAGACAATATCTTCTAGTATTCATTGTCAAATTCTAATTAATATTATTTTTTTAAGCAAGAAATATATTATAAAGTACGTTATTTTTCGTACTAAACTTATATTACTTTATTTAAGCCTATATATATCTTCGGATTAAAAAGAAGAAATAGATGACAAAAGATACATAAAGTGAAACTATTGTTTTTTTTCGTTACTCTGTTGTATATGAGATAAACATTAAATAAAAAAATTAATTTTATTATATTAATTTATATATTTGGTAATTATTGAAATTTATTTTATAATATGTTTGTACAATTCTCTCCTTGTCTTCGTAACAGAGAGTCTTATTAATGTAAAATATATAATTCATTAGAAACAGATAATTATGAAATAATTTTTAAATCTATACCATATTGCAGAAATAATTAGATTAAAATAATACTGAAATTTTATTTATTAATTTGAAATTGAACTACTTAACAATAAAGTATTATTATTTAATTTATTATAATATATATATATAATATTCGAGTTAAGGCCAACGTAATGTATTATACATTATGAAAAGCAGGGGTAACATATGTAGGTATCAAATAATATATAATTATTAAATAAATCATATAAAATATGTATAATATATATTTTTTAAATATTTTAATTTTTGCAAAATTATAAAAAAATGCCCTTGTTATATTTTATATAATTTGTCTATGATACTTTTATATTGCATATAATAATAGGACTGAATAACAAATGACTAAGCACAATAAAGGGAATACAATTATTGCACATATAAATAATAACAACTATAAATTTTAATTTATTATATTATGTTGATAAATTACAGTAGCACTGATGTATATTTCATAAATTATTATGGATCATATTAAGATAAATTTAATAATTTATTATAAGGTCTCCAATCGCACTTTTTCTAATAGTAAATTAAATTTCATTAAAATTATGTAGTTTGTGTATTAATGTAGAGCCTATTAAAATTTTATCCTTAACAAATAAGTTGTCTATTTAAAAATTATATCTAATAACATTTACTTATTTTTATATATTAAAACTAAATATAATTAACCTACATTTAGTATATTATTTAGTTCACTTAAATAATTATTTAATTTAGTATTATATATAAATTAAGACAAAACTATTATTAATATTATAGAATTATTGTTTATACTCATATTTATAAGAAGGCTAAATTAGTGATAATATAGTGAATATATTAATTTATAATGTAAAATATATGATGCATTCTACTATTCTTACAAAAATAAGTAAAATTATTTTCCCATAGCTTAATATAATTTTAAATATTTTTATATGTTTTAATAATGAATGATCTATATATTATACATATTTTATATTTTTGTTTATTAATTTAAGAATAAATAAATATACCATTATAACTTTTGTGCATATAAAAAACATATAAAGTTTTAGAAATAATATTACTACACATATGCCTGTAGTTCTATATATTTTACACTATTATTATTATCGTATTTTTATTGTGTTTCTCAGATACTTTTTATAAATACATATATGGGCATTAATGTAAAGTTATAATGTATTAATTTATTTTCATTATCTTAATAATTACATAATTATTGAACAAAATGCTCTTGCAATAGTTTCTGTCCATATTAATTATAAAATACTGTTTAACTATACTTATTTCTTGTTATAATAATGATAATATATTTAACATATATATTTTATTGCATTACCATAGTTTAAAAAATAATTATTTATGGTAAAATATAATTCAGTGTTATAAATATAATAATAAAAAATGTAATTTTCGTTAGAAATAATGTTATGGAATTAATAAATTGTATGTATAGAAAAGAAAATAATAAAATTGTATCATTATGCTTAATCCATAAAAACATGGAATATATAAAAATTTTTTATGTAATTTTAAAGAAGTAACATTTTTGTGTGCCATGCGAAATATATATGTAGTCACATTTTACATACAATACTGAATAGTACACTATAATAATTCTTGATTAATATGAATTACTACTTTAACACACTTTCAATGATTTTATATGCATATAAATATTATAAAAAAGAACATAATCACATAATATCATTTAAAATATAATACTAAAATATTTAATATTAGTTAATCAAACATATGTATTATTATTATTTTAATTCATAAAATGAAAATAAATATTATTGAATATAAGAACATTAAAGATTATTGTAACAGTACACATATTATAATGTATGTAAATATTAACTAAATTAAGATTTAATAGATTTACTATTAATATAAAAATATATTTCAATTTTGTGCGCGAGGTGAGTAATTAATTTAATATATACACATAATTATTTACATAAAAACATTCCAGTTTATTAATTCTTTAAACAACTAATACATATTTTATTACATTAAATTACTATATTTTAAAGGAATTAGTTTCATGGTATAATAAAATATTTTAAATATACCTAAACTAATATTTCCTATTCCTAAAATTACAATGGTTTCATAGTATTCAACACTTTGTAACATAAAAAATACAATTAAATACATGTATATTTTTTTTTTTTTTTTGGACATTTGAAAGTAATAATAATGCTCTTCTATTAATTATATTATTATAATAAATTTGGATTAAGAATTGAATATTCTATTTTTTCTCAATCAATTACAATTTATTTGCATATAATTAATGGATTTTCAACATTCTAATTAATTTATACATGGAAATGCAAAGTGAAATTTCATAGTTTACGTCAAATTTGATATTTAGTAAAATTTTTTTTTTGCATTTTATATTATCACTAAAACTATAATAATGGAAAAAATTCATTTTTTATAAATTAACATCTTTTATTTTTTATTGAGTGTATGTAGAATTTTTTAATTAAAACACAAATATAAACAAATGCCCCATTTCTTTTACTATAACATAAATACATTTATACAATTATATTAAAAAATTATTTGAGATAATTATTATTATTTTGAAATATATTAATTAATTATTTACATCATACATATTATCATAATTTATTCACTCTTATTCTAGTATTTTATTACTCGTTCCCATGTTATATACACTATAATTAATTAGATGTATAATTTTGTTCACTGAGTAACAAACATGTATTTATGTAATAAATAAATTGTAGTTCTTTTATATTATAACTTCTATATAGAGAGTACCAAATACAATTATTTATTTAATGTTTAATTATTGTAACGATGTATTTTTTTATTAATATGTACGTTATTTTTATTTCTCTCCAAAAAAGTTGCATATATTAATCATCAAAGTATCCACTTTTATTTTTAATAATACTTAATATAATATATTAAACTTATTATTGATTATTATATTTAAAATATGTAAAGCGTTTAAACATTTAATATTACATTTATTCTTGAATTTTATGAAATCAACTTTTGGAAGGTAATATATGGAAATTTCAATATTCATGTGACTTTGTTTTTCAATGTTGTTCTTATAATTATTTATATTTTCTGTCTATAACATAAATATTTTAATATATAATAGTTATTTAACTAAATAATATTGTACTATGATATAATGTTTCATTATACTCTGTGTTCTAAAAGCATATAAACATTACTTATACTATAAATTATTTCTATGTGCTATATGAAGTCGCATCTTCAATTAATTATGAAGACTTATATTAAAAAATATATTATTTCTTATACAATAAATTAATAATATGACATATGACGTGCTCTTCTTTAAAACGTTTAATTGCATAAAAAAGCAAAATTCTTATTATATATATTTACATTTGTTTTTCTACAACACAATATAGAATACTCATATGAGCTAAGGTAATAATTTACATATTAATTGATAATCAAATTTTTTATATAAATATTTCCTTTTTCGATTTACAATTTTGATTATATTTCCTATTAAAAATTACATCCATTGAATTATCACTGTATATATGTATCAATACATAATTTATATTTCCACATCATTAATTTTGTAATTATACCATATTTAAATATATGATAAATTTAATTTATTTTTATTTCATTGTAATGGCAGATGTACTGAAGTTATTAGTCTTATTTATACTTATTAATTATATATTACACTATAATAGCCTATTTTTCCTGGAATTCTTTGTGAATCTCTGTTATTTCCTTCATAATAATTTAGTTCTTTTTCATATATTTCATTATCCTTTTCATTGAATAGCATTAATTTTTTCCTTTTAACATTCAAGTAAAATTTTGAACTCATTGGATAAAACTAACATGGGAAAATAAAAATCATGCACATTTCTATATAACATTTTACAGTAATATGCATTAAGCTAGCATTTCATCATGATTCTTATTTTTACATGTAATTATTACTAACCTTGTACGTAAAAAGGAATATACAAAATATACATATTGTTGCTCCCAAAATAGATATTATAATAACATTATTATTTTTCTTGTTGCCTACTGAAACTGTTTTTCCTGGTTTTAATGAATCAGTAAATCCCCCGGATATCAACATGTTTGGTTCTGAGTCTCCAAATGTTTTTACCTCTAGTGTAACTTTGTCAGAAATTAGCTTTTTTAAACTATCCTTATTACAAGAACTGTAAATATATCCATTGGATAATTCCTCATATTTTGTTTTAAACACACTTAGTGCTGTGCAGTATTTACTATTATTGTCATTAGAACAATTTTTCACAGCTTCCTGGTACTTTTGTAAACATTCATTAGAATAAGATTTGCATTGTTCTATATTATTATTCCGAATAGATATTATTTGATTGTACTTATCGTACAAATAATACAACGTTTTCATATTTTTTAACTGATCCTCTTCAATGTTATGTATTTTGTTGCTTAAATCACATTTTCCTCGAGAAGAATTTCTTTGAGGCTTTATTTTATTGTAAAAATCATTTACACTAATATCAGAAAATTCTCCACTTTTTAGTTTATTATTAAGCCAAAAGTTTAAGTATTCTACATTTGTATTAAAATCAGTACTAACGGGTGCACTTCTTCCTGTAGTACATTGATTAGAATCCCATTCTGTGTCATTTAACAATTTGAAGTAATATTTAAATTTTGCGCAAATATCCTCTAATTCATATCTTTTTAAAAAATTGTTAAACATATACTCACAAGAAAATTTATATCCACGGACATGTAATTCTCCATTAAGAAAAAATTCGTAATTTATATATTTCTCAAATAAATTACAGAAATTATACTAAAAAAAGAAAAAATTATAAAGAAAAAAATATATTTTTACCAAAAACTATATTAGTTTATATAATTTTTTAATTTTCATATAAGATCAAATGGATGTGCATATTTAAACATGCATTAAGGTACATTCTCTTCTAATACGTTAGGAGACATTTCGTTTATACATATATTATTTAAAAAAAGTAATAATAATCTTATTTTTTCAATAATTATTTATAAATGTAACAAATCCTTATATAATGATTAATTATTTATGTTTATATCTATAAGAAGGAATAAATAGTTGATACATTTTATTAATTCATTTTATATTTTAATATAATATATACATTTTAATAGAATTAATGAGAACAGAGAGATAAAGTTTGTTAAAATGGGTAAATCGTATAAAATAAATTATGTTTGCTATATGAAATACTTACAATAGTATTACATAGAAAAAAATATATAGAAATTTTACTTCATATAGTTAACATATAAATCTAATAATATGTAATATAATTCAACATGCAAAAATATAGATTAGTTATGAACAGGATATTTATTATAATTCAAAATAATTTTGTTTATTTACTTGTTTGTACATTATTTTTATATGTTCCTTATTTAATTAATAATAATACATTATGATATAGTTCTGTTAAAATTTTCATACAGTTATTAGTTGTTCATACACTATGAAAATGTATAAATATACATATATATATTCATAATAAATAGTAATCAATAATAAAACATAGTCTTTCTTCAATAATAAGTATATACTTATTACATAAATTTAAATCAATGTCAGCTATAGAGCAATAATGTATGAATTAATTAACATAAAAAAAAATGTATATTATGCTTCATATATTTAATAATATTTTTATTATATATTATTTATAATTTTATACAGCTATATATAATACTACGTAGAATAAATTTTATTTGTTTACTCTGTTTTAACTACTAGTTGACATCATATATACTGGTTCCTATATATGAAATAAAGTAAATAAGATTGTTAATATAAACATTCAAAATAAAAGTAATAATCAAGTTATTAATTAACGTAATCGATACAATGAATATAAAAAATTCTTAATTATTTTTGAAAGTAAACTAGAAAAAAAATAAAAACATAGAAATGGCTATAATATTCGGATGTATGTATATTCATACTTTAATGCAATTGTATATCAATGTAATCTATAATAATATATCGAAGTGCGTATTTTTATTATTCGTTATACGTATTATAAATAAACTTTGATATTTTTCTTTTATAACACAATATAATAATTTTTATAATCAATCTTTTTCTTTTCTTTATTATTTTTTTTTTTAGACACATAGAGTATACTTTATAATAATAGACATATAAATAGAAAAATAGATAATTCAATATAATTTATTTTTTATTCATTAAATAAGAAATTTTAAATAATATATATAAGCCTTCAATGATTTCATCAATCTATTATATTCTACTCGTTTGAGGATATTATTTATAATATGATTCACTGGTAGATAACGAATTTATAACAGGTATATAAGCAAAAGTATAAAACAATGTTAACTTACAAGAAAAGAAATAAATACATTTTTATATTATTAAAAATATATCTTTATTTGTTTTTCATTTAAAAAAGTTGAATATATAGGATTAAACATAAATTAATATCAATAGATTATATTTTATAAAAAAAATTATTATTGCATCTTATATATTAAGTTACTTATAAAATAGCACAATAAAATTCATGCATCTATTTTATTTTCGTTAAAAAAATAATATAATCCTTTATTAATAAAATCTATAAAAATGTCGTATCACTAAAAAATATAGATTAATTGTAAATTTAAAAATATTATATATAGCCAATATATTGTATATCTTCGATATATTGTATGAATCATTTATTTAAATTATAATATATATATAGTGTATTAGTCTACTGCATTATAAATTTCCTTTTTTTTTTTTTACACCTTTTATATGCATTGTTTCCACAATGATCTTTATATTTTAAATAGCTGAAGACTTAATATGGATTTTATTCCTGATATTCACCTTTTATTATTTATAACATTTTTATATCCAACGAATTCTAGGATTTATTGCATTTGATTTTTTATACATATATATTTCGTAGTTGAATATGAGTAAATGTTTTTAAAATATTTTTTTCAAAATAATTAAAACAAAATGTATGTTGTTTTAAGTTTAAATAAGGAAACGGTATCATAACAGTTTTTCCATTGCAGAATATATGAATATATAGAAACGTTGTTATAAAATTAGGAAATATGTATTTAAGAGATAAATATTGTTTTTTAATAAGGTATAATTTTTTTGGTCAATTATTATATATGTATTTTATGAAAATTTCCTCATGATTTCTTATATAAATATTCACTTTGTTCTTTTATATTATTTTTTTACGTATCATGTCTAATTCTCTATGATTTAATGTTATTTATTGTTCTTTATAATTTTTTACATTAGGAATTTCATTTATCTTTAAAATATTAAAACTGTTTCGTTATAATATAAAATAGATAATTTTGTTAATTCTATGGGTGTGTGAAGTAAAATATGTAACATTTACTTTTTTATATAATATTTTATATATGATTAATATGCAACGTAGTTTCCATTAATTATTATATACGTATATACTTTTTGCATTAAGCCTATACATATATAATGTACATATTTTTAGTTTATGATACAAAAATATTCATGTGATTCACAGCGAAATAATTCATATATTAATGCAGCAAAAATATAGTATTATCTCTTGCGTATTACTCGTGTGTTATTATAATTTTTTTGGATATTATGACTGTGGCACATAATATTTAGGTTTATAACATAGTGAATCAAAACAAATAAGATCAAATATTCTGATAAAAATAATTTATTTATATTTTTTATTGCAGATAATTTTTTTAATATATTGCCCTTAACAATTTTTGATATATATACTTTTTCTATTGTGTTAATTTTCATTGTCTCAGGTAAAATTAATATTTTTAAAAAATATAAATAAATAGTTCTAATGTGGAATAAAATTATATGCACTATATATTTTATTGCATTGATGAAATCAATTATTTTGAAAAAACAATTTTTCCCTCTAGATGTTATAATTATGCATATAATTAAACCATATTTTATATATGCTACTTCAATTAATCACTGAGCATCGAGTATATATTATATATTCTTATAAAAAAACAAATATACTGCGTAAAATATAATAACAGCTGATATAAAATATATTTACTATTTATGAAAATATTATTTTTTTAAGAAAAACTATATAGTAAATATAGTTTATTCTTAATTTTATGTAATTCCGTTAAATTATGCAATAGGGACTAGAGTTCTTTGAAAATGTGAGAATATATAGATGAAATAAGTGAAATTTATTATGCTATATACATATATTATGATGACATTTGTAAATATTTTCACATTATTATAGATAAATACGTGTTATATTTTTTACTAAATAATTTATTTCTCTCCTATTCATAATTATTTATATATTGAAAAATATTTTGTAATATTAAAAGATGCAAAAAAATGAAAGAAAAAATGAATGGAATAAATCTAGTTATAATACTGCAATGGTAAATTATATATAAATTTATATATGTGATATAATTATTTGAATCATAAAATATAGAATCCCATATTCGGTAAGAATGTATAAAGGCAAAGGCACTTTAAATTCTGCTAGATGTAATCTAAATTATATTTACTCATAATGTCAACACGAAATTATAAGTATTATGATTTTCTATGTGCTTAATATATAAAATTCATGTAAATTTACATCTTTCCTTAATTATCATTATATGTATTATTTTTAATTAAAATGATTTTAAAGGCGCATAAGAGCTAAAAAAAAATATATTTTTACAATACATATATATTGTTACAACATATATTTGTTTAGTGTATAAATATATAATGAAAACATTTATATAAAGAATTTTATGTATTTTTTATGAAAAATTTGCTTTAATCCTTATATTTGCAATAAATGGAAATGATTTTTTATTTTTCTAGGCTTATAAAAAGCATTGTCTATTTTAAATAAAGTATACACAGTTGCCCATCTTCATGTATAAAAAAAAATACATGATTTTTATTCCTATATACCAAAATAAAATTATTTATATTTTTAAAAAATAAGAATTGCGTAAAATTAAATGTTTGAATTCAAAATTATTTACAACAAACAGCATTTTTTTTTTGATAGTTTAAAAAAAGGACGATAAAAATTAAGAAAAGTAGTATCTTGATATTAAATGAACGTTAGATATAATTGTTTTCATTTATTTATAATTTATTTTTACTTATTAACTATTTAATATATATAATATATTATTATATTCTTTAATTTTATATTTACATTGTTAATATATTAATCTTTATTATTCTACACTTATATCATGTATAAAACATAAGCATTCCTATCTTGCATATATAAATTTACACAATTTTATATATAAAAATTAATAGAGAATAATACATAGTTATTTCTTATTTTCATAACTTCTTATAATATAATATTAGATATAAAGCAATGAAATACTATTTGTAAGTATTAATAATATATTCATATATATATTATATATAATCCTCCTTGTCTTTATATCATAAAAAGGACATTTTACTTTTTCTATTTTTTCTGTCTTAACGTATGCATTGACTTATTTAAAGAATCATCGTATATGTAATATATATATTCCATACTAACTAAAACACATGAAAATCAAAATATGATATGTAAATTGAATAAAACTAAAACATGTATGAAATAAATGATATGCCATAGTCCATGTAATTTCTTGAGCTCAAAAAGATGTATGTGGTAGAATTTTACATATTCATATCATAAATAAACGAAATTAAATAATATCGTAATACAAAGTTGCAATACATGAATTGTTAAAACAATTATTATTCATACTTTAATATTATTATGTGTGTTTAATTACGCAAAAAGCCATTTTCTATAATAGTCATAATTATATGTAATGAAATATATAAAAATAAATGTATGAAGTATGTTAAACGGTTGTAGAAATTTTATAATTTATATATCAATTAATATTCTAATCTATATATATTATATTAATTTTTTATTTAT